TATAATTGAAAATCAAATTAAGTTTGACAACTACAAGTTTGGTAAATTTTTTCTCAGCATGAGAAAAAAATAATCATAGGGCTACTAAATACTGAAAACGAGAAAAATCTGAAAAATTTTGCTTGTTTTATAAGTTTCTGAAAAAAATTAAAAAGAGAAAAATGAATACACCTTCAAAGTAAGCTTTTTTGATGCTAAATGGTAAAATATATGTTATAAGGAATAAGAGAAAAGAAATGAACCTCTAAAAACTAAAACGTAGTTATGAGCTTAGCACCATATTTATGAGAACCTACATTCTAGGTGCGGTGAGGAATGAAAAATAAAACGTAGAAGGTAACATAAGCACGGAGGGCTCAGCTTATGAATAACTAGAAATTAGGTAACATAACTACGGTGGGTAAGTTAAAAATTGAAAAATATACAAAAATAAGCACACTGAAGGCATCAAATAATATTACTCTAAAAACACTTTGGCTCAGTCCTTATTGGTATCGAGCACTTATTGTTGAAATAAATTTTGGTAAACATTTTATAATACTACAAAAAGCTAAAAGTCTTGGAACTAAAATTAAAAATAAAAATAGAAAAAGTCCCTTTTATGGCACACAGTTGAAAAGAGTCGCTATCCTAAAAAAATACATTAGTAAAAATATAAGGAAAAATTAGTATTCAGCTTATTCGCAGCTTTGGCAAAGAACAACACTGTGTATTGGACAAACATGTTTGCGCCAGAGTTATACAAACCAGAAAAGTGGAGAAATCTTCAAAAAAAAACTCAACTAGATTGAAAAACACGTTCATCTAATCACAGATTGACACTTTCTCTGTTTTTCACGAAATAAAAGTAATAATACTACATATTTCTTGTAAAAATAAGCTTATGAAACATGCTAGATATTGTTATCACAAAACATCAACCTTTCAAAACATGAACATGACCTCAAAACCAAAACAAACAGGGTTACCAACTGTCTTTGTGAATGAAACGTGAAATACACTAGGGAAAACACGTCGGGGTCAATCTGACCCCGCTCAGGCTTTCTAGGGGTACTCGTGAATTTTTTGATCTCTCGTGCACATTTTTTTTTTTTTTTCCCCTTCAAAATCGTGTTCCTAGATGTTTTTGTAGACCTATCTGTGAAGGACAAAAAATTTCGTGCATACCACGAGAAATGGCAAAGAGTTGAAACCCCCGTGGGGTCAATCTGACCCCACTCAGGCAGACTAGGGTTAAATGCTATTTTTTCTCAAGCTGTCGATGATCTGTGATAGCCTAGTTGACTGAGGAGCCTCATATTTTGATTAGGTGCGGGCACTGGCGATCGGGAGTTCGATACCCGACGATATGTGTTACTTTTTAATGGTTGTATTGAATGTTTTAGACCAATCATCAAAAAATAATTAATACTAGATGATAAATGTACGAACATTTTCTCGTGAGTTAATATGTTAAACAAAAATACTGGAATATACCTCCTTCATATAATCAGCCATATGTTCCCCCAAATTAATGACGTTATTTTCTTTTTTCAATAAAGTTAATTTGCATTCAACGTTCGTAAGTTAAGCAAAAAGTACCTATTGATACAAATAGAAAGACATGAAAATAGTATGTCTAACATTTCAGTTGTTTTTTTTTTATTTATTTTTTGTTTTTTTGTTTTTTCAATACAACAAATTGACTGGGACTAGAATCATTGTATCTCTGAAGACAAAAGCTAAGTTTTTTGATACAGAAATACTAATATATTCATCCTTTATATAATCAGGGAGATGTTGACCCAAATATTGATGTATATTTTCTCTGTTCGCCCAAATCAATGATGGTATTTCCTTTTTTCAATAAAATTAATTTACATTCCACGTTCTTAAAGCAATATTTTCTCCAAAATTCAGCAAAAAATAACAATTTATTCCTACGCAAAAAGTAAGTAAATAAATAAATAAATAAAGCAATGACATGAAAGTAGTATAGGTAGTACACATCTAACATTTCAGTTACATCTATTTGAATGAAACAAATGGCAACTTAGGAAGCACATAGGTCACTTATGATGCGTATTCGGGCATATGCGTAGAGTAAAAATATCATACTTTACGCCGAAAAAACGAAACTGAAAGTTAAATGCGTTAACTTCCGAAAACCATACATAATCCAACGAAAATAAATAATTGGTAAATATAACAGCTTTCTTGTATGCAAAGAAAAAAAATTAAAAATGTTAAAAAAGAGATGTCGACACAAAATTACATAGCCCCTTCAATCCTGAAGATACTACAAACGAACTGTACCTTAACATTTTCATATCCCAGAAGCAAAAGTTCCCATGACGAATATTGCTATCGCTAGCGATTGCAAAAACCAACTTGTTTATACCTACATTTAAAAAAGTTGAAAAATTGGCCGCCGCCTAGATTTGCCGCCATTGGCCGCGGCCCTTGTGGCCACCCCCGGTAATCCGGCCCTGATTGATTCGTCACAGGAGTATTTTTCCTCCAGAAAATTGATCCAATCACTATTTTCAAAGATGAACGAAAGGTAAACCTAGCAAAAGCCTCACATTTCTTGGGTAGGCAGAATAGGTTTCTGAAGGGCAGTTCCACTCTGCTTAACTCTTCATTTCTGCCTATGGCAACATCTTGTTTCTTGCAACATTATACACAAGATTGAGTACTGAAACAGAAAATTATCGTGGTGTGTAAGAGTTCCATCAGAGTAGCAATTTTATTTCCTCTCTATGTAGGTACTATAGTCCTCGCTCACCTTCTAAGGGGCTGTCCCTAAATTGAACCGATTATCTTCCAAATCACGTATGTGCCAATCTCTATTTTCTTGGTAGAGGTGTTATTTTTTCTTTGTTTTCTCTGTTATGATCAATCATGTCTGATTTCAAAATAGCCCTCTAAAAGAACATACATTTTTTGGAATTCAAAGATTGTCAACAAAGCGAATAAAACGAGGTTTCTTGTTTTTCTCGCACTCGTAATATTGGCGCTTACGTGATCTGGAAAATAATCGGTTCAATGGACTACTGTACAAGGTACGAATTTAAGCATTCTGGTACATGATTCCTCACCAGAATTTCACGTAGAGCACGATTCGCGTAACGAAAATTACTGAAACCAACTCCTAACGGACATATTAAAATTTTTATTTGACATTGGTTACGAGGAATTTGATCTGCCCGCTCACAAGAAACTCAAAGCTCTACTTGAGTCAAATTGCGCACTACAATGATGTCAGCAATCATCTCAATCGAGCAATGTTCATTTCCCACCTTGTGTTTTTCAAACTATAAGTAATTTGCTATAGCTCAGTCAAAGCGTCAAGATTGAGGTTGCCAGATATTTTTTATCGCAGAGACGTTCATGATAACGTTTAGCGCGCGATGTGAATCACTCAGAGCATTGAATTTTCATGAGGGGGTGGTTTCAATTCACGCACCAAGAATCATTAAATATCTTCGGAAGGAGTTAATTTCGGTAATTTTCGTTGTGCGCATCGTGTTTTACGTGAAATTTTGGTGAAGAAACATGTATCGGAATGCTGAAATTCGTACATAGTCTGGTGGTCCATTACATACTCTCTGGAGGAGGGGAGGGGGGTCGAGAAAAGTGTTTTGCCATTTTATTTTTACGTGTTAAAGGAGAAGGACCTACATGTCAGAAAAGCATCACACGGGGGAGAGGAGGGGTCGAAAATGCCGAAAAATTGCGTTACGTAATTTTTCGGCGGCCCCCTAAAGATTCACCGACCAAAAACACCGAAAATGCCCAGATAACGAGGTCATTGTCAGGCGCGGAAGCGTGTCCTCCGACGCGACAGGACGCTTGGCTCGAATCGGAAGGGCGGGCGTCGGCGTCGAACGGAATGTCAATCGGTGCGTAATTAATCGGGCACCGGTTTCGAATTCGGATTCATCGGGCGCAGACACCGGCGCGGAGCTCAACCGCCGCCGCACGCTGGGTGAGTTCATAGGAGATGTTGGACAAGATGCGAAAACTTTCACAGTAAACTTGCAATCTTTGTTAAAGAGGAACGAAGAGATTTAACAGTAATTTCGTTGATTTTCTCATGAAATTTTCCTCAAAACCACCCCTCATAGGAGCGTGGGACTGCGTTTAGCAGAAAGGAACCGAGCCACATCAGCTATTGTCAAATTTAATTGAGCACTTTAATTTTTTACATAAAAAACGGTTGTGCGGAATTTTGTGAAAAGTTCGAAGATTTATCATGATTTCTTAAGCCGTTGTCTACATGAAACAATACTTCTTTTTGCTCTAGCTTTGCAACAGTCTCATTACAAACACTGGTAAAAAAAACCTCCTGGACCAATGCCACAGTGCATTGACTTAAGAGTGCATTTTCTTGTCGCCGGATTTAAGAGTCTTGAACTCTTGTTTCAAGCGGATTTTGTATTGATTCAATTCAAAATCCACTTGAAACAAGAGTCCAGACTCTTAAATCCGGCGACAAGAAACTGCATTCTTGAACCAAGAGGTTTTTTTTACCAGTAAGTTCATTTGGACCGCGTTCAGCAGACAGGAACCAAGCCGAACTTTTGCCAAAAGCCGTTAAATTTACATATTTACAAGTGAACATTTCGTCGTTAACCTGACATACGGCGTAACTACACTCTGCAATGAACCCTGTCTTCCATAAAATTCAATGCTTTTCCGGCCTCAACTCAATGTGTAGTTGCGCCCTCATGTCGGCCAAGCGACGATTCGTGCGAATTCTTGGGAAAATTTTAAGAAATTTGCTTCGTGCTGCAGAAAATTTACTGAAATTTGCAACAAAATCTGACCAACCGTTTTTATGTAGAACAATAAATTGCCTAATTAAATGTGGCACTAGCTGATGTGGTTTGGTTCCATTCTGCTTAACGCGGTCCATAATGTTCCGCTTTTCCCACTGGTTTGTTCCACTGTTCGCCGCCGAGGACGNGGGGGGGGGGGGGCGTCCGCGGGTATTTGGAAGCCAGGGCGGCGGAGCCGGGTCGGGTCCCACTCGGCGTCTGATCATCAGGCGCACGCGTTCGATTTTCGCACACGAATCCGATTCCACGGATCCGCGACTTGCTTTTACGAGGTGCAGTGTCGTTTTCGAGTCGTCGTCGTTTCGGGCTGGATTATTTTTGCGCCGGGGAATGAATTTTTGAGGTAAGATAATCTTAGATAGGGTGTAATGAGGGGCTTGGAAGACACGTGGAATAAAAGTAATTTTTGAAAAAATGGGGATATTAATGATGTATGCACACTACAACTTGTCTTAAATTGGATTGCATTTTGCAAAAAGGAACCACCAGCGTTGCAATGATGCTAAGATTGTGCAACTTCATCTTTTGCAATAAAATTGCGGAATAAAATCGTGAAAAACTATGAAATTTAGATGGTAATTTTTGTCTTAAATTTACATTTTTTTGCGAGTAAAATAGAAACTATTAATGGATGATCGGGTTTTTCCTCCAAGACAAAAGAAGTTGCACAATTTTAGCAACATTGCAATGCTAGTGGTTCCTTTTTCCAAATTCCGATCCAAATCCTATGTGTTCTGTTCATGGATTTCTCACTACTAAAATCCAATTTTTACGCATCGAAAAGTAGGTTTGAACATTCTTACCGCCGCGCCGCGCCAAGGCTCCATTTCATTTTGGAACTTTAACCACTTAATTCCCATGGATGATAATTGTCGTCTGCTGCCTCGAAGAAATTTTGAAATGAGTTTTTATTTTTATATTACTTCGTACAGCATTAAAACTTAAATGGACCGCGTTTAACAGAAAGGAACCGAGCCACATCAGTTATTGCCAAATTTAACTGGGCAATTGAATTTTCTTACGAGAGAACGCGTGTTCGGATTCTTTTCAAAATTTTAAGGAATTTGCTTTGTACTATGAGGAAAATTCACTGAAATTTGCACCAAAATCCGCACAACCGTTTTCATGTAAAAAATCAAATTGCCCGATTAAATTTATGGCAATAGCTGATGTGACTTGGTTCCTTTCTGTTTAACGCGGTCCAAATATAAAACGAGCGTTTGCAATACTCCTATCAAGCAAGAGTTCAACATAATTCACTTTACTTAAAATCAGTTTCAAATACAAATCTTCGAATAGATAATGATTCCAGCACGGAAGATATTTTCTGGCCTGTTCTGAAAATTGAAGGCGAAATAGCAATGTGCGTTGCCAGATAAACAATTGGGTAATGCAAAATCGTCTTCCTGGAGGCGAGATTTTTGCCACGGTTGAGTTATTTCTGCGTCTTCAAAGTGCGCATGTCACAAAGCAACACTGCAAACATTAAAATTATCTGATTGTAATTTCCTCTAATGATGACAATTTATAACTCGAGAATTCGCCGTGACATTAGTTTGTGCGCTACCTGAAAGTCGACTAAACGTCCGTCATGTCATTTCGAAGTCTCAGCAGTTGTTTTTTGTCCACACAAAATTCACAGATATGTCCAGTTTGAAAAATCAAAGATGATTTCTAAATGATGTGAAGAGGATTTCTAGGCGATATGTAAACAAACCTATTATAATTATTGTATGATAAGTACTCGTGAACTGTGGGATGGCCTGAGTCTTGTTGAATGTTGTTTATATTCTGTGGCTATCTGGGCGAAATACGCATAGTTAAATTCAGATGGTATGGTTATAAACTTCGAAAGTGTGAGACTTTAGCGGCGTCTATGATTTTTCGGCGTGTTTCTTTTTTCATCGAATTCAACTCGTAGGTTAAAAAATCGATAAATTTAATTCCTTGGTAGTATCCGTGACTTCCCTAATACCTAATGTAAACAATTTTTCCGTGAATATTTCAGGCGATCCCTGGTAAAAATTGGCAGTAGAATGTGTGTTCCAAAATACTATAGACCTAGAGCCGGCTGTAAGATTTCCAATAGCTTCTGTAGCCGGCTGTACAATTTCTTATAGCCTTTTATAACCAATGGCGACTAAGCAACAGCCAGACGATAAATGTCATTCTTAATATGTTGGAGCACCTTCAATTTTTTATGATACTGTGCAATACCTCTGGTGTGAAATAGTTGCTTCAGACGCCGCGCCGTGGCACGCTGCAGCGCGGCGGGCGGGCAGAGAGCGCGAAAGCGCATTGGCGCCTACAAACCTAACAGGGATACTTCAAGCATTGCGCAATGCGTGAAGTATCCCTGTTAGGTTTGTAGGCGCCAGTGCGTCGCCGCTCCGCTTTGTCTTAGACTCTAATATTTAATCTCGCGGAGTCAGCGTTTTTCAACTCATGATTTAGAAACGTTTGCACACTCTGTATGGACTATTCTCATTTGAATTGATGAAAAAAAAAAAATGTTTTATAGGAAAATATAAGGTGTGTTCTGTAAATATTAAGGTAGTTACGCATCAAACTTAATGATTTCCAAAGCACACGAATTTCTACACAATTTCTTTTAGCCTTTTATAGCCAATGGCGATAAAGTGTAAAGCCCGGCGATAGGAACTGTAGCCCGACTGTATACTTTTTTATAGCTTCGTATAGCCCGGCCGTATGATTTGCTCCGCTTTCTACAGTCAGATATATGATTCTCAATAGCCTTCTTTAGTCGGCTATAAGAACTCCTATGGTATTTTGAAACGCACCTCCTATCGCCAATTTTTACCAGGAATATGGTAGGTTTGGTTCCTTTACATGAATTAAAATAATATCAATCATCGAAAGGGAGACCCTGATCAACGACGGTAAATTGTTTGTAAATCGATTTCGGCAAAGTTGGATAGAAGAGTAGAATTGTGAGAAAATTCCATCTACATTCTAAATTCCTAAAGATTGAGTTGCCAGCCGCATAGTCCATATTTTGTCGATTTAGGGCGAATAATTGCGGTATGTACGAATTTAAACGATCTGATACAGAACTTCACGTAAAACACGATTCAAAAGACGAAAATTACTGAAATTAACTCCTAACAAAGACATTAACGTTTTTATTTCACATCGGTTACGAGGAATTTGAACTGCCCGCTGACAAGGAACTCAAAGCTCCACGTGAGTCAAATCGCGCACTGCAATGGTTTCAGCAAGCTTCTCAACCGAGCAATGTTCATTTCCCACCATGTGTTGTTCAAACTATTAGCAATTTGCTATAGCTGAGCCAAAGCGTCAAGATCGAGGTTGCCAAATTTTTATATCGCAGAGACTGTCATGATAACGTTTAGCGCGCGATGTGAATCACGGAGGGCATTGCGTTTTCATGAGCGAGTGGTTTGAATTCACGCATCAAGAAACAGTAAATATCTTCGTGAGGAGTTAATTTCGGCGATTTTTGTTGTGCGAATCGTGTTCTACGTGAAATTTTAGTTACGAAACATGTTTCAGAATGCTGAAATTCGTACCTTGTCAAGTGGTCCATTGCGAGTTTTTCACGGTTAACATCAAACCGCGGTACTTTCGGTTTGGTTTGATATTTTAGGGAGATTTTCGTCCCAAAATGTTCGGAGAAAGTCTTGAGGTTTAGTATCGATAGCTCAATTTTTAGATTTTGTGGACCATATGACCCCTCTCCCGAGGGTATTTTGAAACACCTTGGTAAAAATTGGCGATAGTAGCTGTGTTTCAAAATACCATAGGTATTCTAATAGCCGGCCATAGAGGGCGATAGAAATTCATAAAACTGGATGTAGAAAGCGCAGAAAACCGTACAGCCGGGCTATACGAAGCGATGAAAAATTATACAGCCAGACCATAGTTCCTATCGCTGGGCTATACAGGGTGTCCCAAAAGTCCGTACCCCCCCTCGTAACGTTTGAACGGTTAGAGATAGAAAAACGAAACTTTGGAAATGTTTCTATCTTAAAGGGGTCCATCTTCTAGGGGGGCCAAAATTTTTGTCCCCCCCTCAGGGGTGACGCGGGGGCCCCCAACTTTTTTTTTTCAAATGGTAACCCCTATCTTGTGATACATCATTAGAAAGAACATAAAAAACTAAGAATTTTGGCGCAAACAGCAAATCAATATCTTAATTTTTGACCGAGTTATGATAGGTCAAAGGTCAAATTTGACCTATTTTTAAAAAATCATATCTCCGGTTCAAATTATTGCAAAGAAAAAAATAAAACGGGAAAATTTACCAAATTGTAAGCACTTTCAAGTAAAAATCACAGAAATTACTTCAAACTAATTTTAAGGGGGGTTTCGGACCCCCAAATACGTCATTTTAAAGGTCATACGATATTCTCGCGAAATGAGCCAATTTCTCCTTACTTTTCCTCAACATTATCTTAATAGGTTCTAAATTAGTTCAAAATTGCGTTTTCAAGTCCCCAAATTTCGAACAAAGTTTTAAAAAAAATGAAATTTAAATGGTTGAATTGAATTACCTTAAATTTCGTTTTTTGAACTTTGCTCGAAATTTGGGGACTTGAAAACGCAATTTTGAACTAATTTTGAACCTACTAAGATAATGTTGAGGAAAAGTAAGGAGAAATTGGCTCATTTCGCGAGAATATCGTATGACCTTTAAAATGACGTATTTGGGGGTCCGAAACCCCCCTTAAAATTAGTTTGAAGTAATTTCTGTGATTTTTACTTGAAAGTGCTTACAATTTGGTAAATTTTCTCGTTTTATTTTTTTCTTTGCGATAATTTGAACCGGAGATATGATTTTTTGAAAATAGGTCAAATTTGACCTTTGACCTATCATAACTCGGTCAAAAATTAAGATATTGATTTGCTGTTTGCGCCAAAATTCTTAGTTTTTTATGTTCTTTCTAATGATGTATCACAAGATAGGGGTTACCATTTGAAAAAAAAAAGTTGGGGGCCCCCGCGCCACCCCTGAGGGGGGGACAAAAATTTTGGCCCCCCTAGAAGATGGACCCCTTTAAGATAGAAACATTTCCAAAGTTTCGTTTTTCTATCTCTAACCGTTCAAAAGTTACGAGGGGGGGGTACGGACTTTTGGGACACCCTGTACAGTTTATCGCCTGGCTATATCTTTATCGCCAACGGCTGTAAAAGGCTATAAGAAATCGTATAGCCGGCTACAGCAGCTATAGGAAATCTTACAGCCGGCTGTAGCTCTATAGTAATTAGAAACACACATCCTATTGCCAATTTTTACAAGGCGGCATGCGCAGGTTTTAACTTTAGGCATTGAAAGGTTAAAGTGTAACGTTGCATGCAATA